ATCTCTACCAGCCGGAACTACAATGATGCCTATACTTTAATCGTGGAAAAGGATTTTTTAATCTGTTGCCTTTAATTATGTTTATTTTGTTTTGGAAAATAATCGCGTTCGATCGATAAAACAAACGACTTTAGGATCGCCTTAATATCTGTTAATATCTGCCTTAATATCTGATCGAACGCGATTATTTTTCAAAACAAAATAAACATAATTAAGCGTCTAAACATAATAAAGCGTCTAGAGCTGTTACATGTGCCAATATATTTGCTTCGTACAACAATTTGGCAGTTTGTTGGTATAAAATGATACCAGCCGGAACTACGAATTACATGTGCAAACAATGTTGAGTTCATAAAATTAGGCTTGGATGCCTAATAAAAAAGCTGTATGTTCTTGAAAATTTGTTACGATGTGTGCGTGAGATATCAATATGGTAGTAAATATGAACACATCACTACACACTACATCAATATCGCACGCATACATACTCACAAATCGTCGATAAAACAGCGAATTTTTGGAGTTTGATCTCGGGTTTAGGATCTCCTTAATATAAAAAATAGTTTGTTTAGTTATAAGGTTGTCATTCAATTATATTTTAATAATTATATATCTTTGAAGTAATTAGGTATTATATGTAGAAGATGAAACAGTTATGCGTATTAAAAGTTGAAATAAGATAAAAATAAGAGAAAAAGAGATTTATTTTTAATAATGTAATTTCAATTTATGATACATGTATTATACAAATTGCATTCATCCACATGTTTATGTAATTAACACATTATAGGTTTTCTTTTTTTATCGCGTTTACATATTAGTTTGCAAGTTTGTATGATTTCTAGTAAATATTATAAACTTCCTAACCGTTTAAATTCTTTAAAAAGAAATGAGAATCAACTAATAAATTAAATATGTTGAAGTATAAGGTTCAAAAAAATTTTTCCTGATTTTTTACGGCTCGTAATTTGCAGTTAAATTATCATTGTTAATTAATTGTGCATTGTCCAAGTGCATTTACTCTTTGTGACTGTTGTTTTATATTTTATACGATATTTAGCGTGATCGCTAATTTTTGTATGCTAATTAATCGAATCCGGAACGATGCTGAAGCGTCAACCGAGCTCCATATTGTCGCTGTTTTACCGACAATTTATGAATATGCATGCGTGCGATATTGGTGTAGTAGGTGTATTATCACATCAATATTGTATGTATGTACATACATACACACACTTCGTAAAAAATTTTCGTGTACATATATTTCTCGAAAATTAAAAGTATCTAAATCTAATTTTACAAACTCCATATTTACGTAATTTAGATACCTACTTATAGTTTAACCACTGTAATTTTGTAAGAACAAGTTGCTGTTGTATCTAAGCCTTGGGGGTAACCACTAATTAATGTAATCGTAGGACAATGTCCCTGAAGTCATTATGAAATCTTTACGAAATCCCCATGTAATCATTTTGCAATCAGATTTAATCATGAAATCAGATGAAATCATGTAAAATCACCAGAAATCATAATGAAATTATATGAAATTTCCAATGGGATGAAATTATATGTAATCACCATGAAATCTGTGTAGAAAACATAACTGTAATTGTATATATTCTGCTATCTTAGAATTATTTACACTGATTTTATCAGATTTCATGGTGATTATACATGATTTCCAGTAATTACACAAAAATTCAAAATAATTTTTGCTGATTACATATGATTTCTAGTGATTCCACATGATTTCATCCAATTTCATATGATTTCATTATGATTTCTATAATGATTTCACATGATTTCATTATGATTTCTGGTGATTCTACATGATTTCATCTAACTTCAGGATTAAATATGATTGCAAAACGATTCCATGGGGATTTCGTAAGGATTTTATAATGATTTCGGGGACTCTTGACAGGGACCGACATCTTATAATTATTTTATTTAAAACAAATTAGCAATTAATCATGTGTTTCTAATCAAATAAAATCATTTGTAATCACTAGAAATCTACATAGATAGTTACATATGCAATCACGAGAAATCATTGTGTTATAATCAAATAAAATCATTTATTTTACTAAATGACTTCATATATGAAAAAATTTATGTGTAACCAGATGAAATCGTATGAAATCAAATGAAATCATGTAATCTGTGGGACAACATTTTATGTAATGGTCACCCTCTTGTATCAAGCATATGTTATTTCGACTTCATAGCTTTAAACGCCACATAAAGCTAAGAAATGATAAAAGTTTGAATTGTGAAAAAAATTTGTTCGTTCTAAAGTGAAAATACGTGAAAATCCTTACGCTTACACAAAATTAAATTGTGTTTAAAACAGACGTAGATCCAGCATTGTCTTAATTGGCCACCTTAACGAACTCCCGGTCTCCCTTCCGACGGCAGGCGGAAACATCTGTGAAAAAACATCCCCGTAATTTTCACTCTCGTTGAAAAACTCCACGGTGACCGAACCCAAATTAAAGTGCGTGCCGACATAGATTGGACAGATCGAGCAATTAACTTCGTTATTCGAGTTATCATGCTACAATTCCCCCGCGAATTTAGTGAATCCTGCAAAAAAGAGCCAGTGCCGAATAGCTCAGCCCTTTGTGTACGATTTCGATCGGGGTAAATTTGGCAGATTTTCGCGCGCGCCGAAAACGAGGGTTCGTTTGCCTTTCTAACTTGGCTCTATTTGTTCCTTTCGGGTATGCGCAGTGTCAAAGGAAGGTATATGTACCAGTTTTTTTTATGGGAAGAAACTTGCAAAACTCTGCATTAAAAGTGAAATTTTACATTAATTACTGATTTGCATGTTTATTTTACTTTTGCGTTCTTTCATACATAAGTTTTAATTTAATTTGTTTAATAATCCGTTTTGCGGTCTTGAAAATCCTATTCTCGGTGACATATAATACTTTGTAGGAAGAATATATTAACGCGTTTTATTGCTT